GTATCATGATTCTCCATTCGTGACTTGCCTTCACTCATATGGCTCATATCCTCAACATGGTTGCGAGACTCTCCCCGCCTTCTAGACAGACGTCCTCGCTCCCTCTCCTCAAACTCCCGATGCTCCTCATCCAACCTGATATACCTTTCCTCCTCTTCAGCTTCCCTCATCGCCAACTCTCTCTCCTGGTCAGCTTCCAGAGACACGAGCTCATGCTGCGATACAGCGTCAACGAGAGGCTCTATCTCGACATCAACCCGCTCCATCTCCTTCCAACAAGCTTCCCAGGCACCGCCACGGATCAGACCGTTGCTGGCATACACCTTGACACGGAAGACCTTGGCACGACCGAGCGACTCATAATTAATGTCCGACTTGCATGTCTTGCACCAGTGTGTAGGCGGTGCCTGGGAGCGACGACTTGATCGGCGCTCGTCTTCCTCTTGCTGTTGATACTCATCCTCCTCACTCTCTTCCTCCTCTGAGTCCTCTATTGTCATCTCGTTGGAGGGACCAAGATAGTGACCACACTCTAGGATACGAGCACGACGCCTCATTGGGAGGTCAAGAGCCTCAAGCAGCCTCTCCTCGAGAACCTCATAGTCGCTCTGGGGGTGAGGTAGGAGGATACCGCGCTCGACAGTGGTATCTGCCATGCGATCTTGCAATAGTCGCCAAGCATCTCGTATAGCCTTGCACTCCTTGCTCAGATCGTCGGCATCTGCATTCTCGAGCACGTCACCCCACGGCCACCGAAGCGGAAGCAATGTAACGTGAAGAAGGACAAGGGGCGGTGTAGATCGCTTAAAACGAGGCGGTGTCTTCTTAGGAGAGTACTGCTCTGAAAAGCGAGGAGAGCCAAGTCGAGATGCAGAGAGAGGTGCTCGACGACTTGATCGAGGGGAGCCAATTGTCGAGCCTGGAGGCGATGACATCTGCATGGCCTTGACAGAAGAAGGTGATCGGAAGACAGGACGAGGGTTGCCTCGGATAGTAGGGATGAAGTCTTCCTCTTCCCTGTCATACTCTGAGAAGCCGGAAATACCAGATACACCTGAGACACGAGGCGACCTGGTCATCCGCGACATAGCATCCTGAGCTTTTCTGTTGTCAGTCTCCGAGACAGATCCCATTGAGCTGCGAGGACTTCGATCACTGAAAACGTCGTCTTCGTGCTCATGGTGGGAGCTGTTCTCAGCAGCCTCATCTACACCGCCTCTCATACCAGCAGTCGACATTTTTGGGCCAGTGCGAGTACTGACCGACTCTGAATGAGAGATGTAACCAGTATCGTCTGTTCCAGAGTAGCTATTAAGCGACTCGCGCTTCTCGTGGCTGTCAATTTGTGAAGCAATGTCACGAGCAACGCCGCTGATAGCTTCGGAGCGACCAGAGTGTCGACGGCTGGAGTATTCAGATCCTGAAGAGCCAGAGGACTCACGTCGAGAGCCTGAGCGGTCTGACTCGGTCTCAGAAAAGTGCCTCTCTTCGTTACCCTCAGTAGAGGCTTCGACCTCAGCTTCGGCAGATTTGGCCTTGTCCTCTTCGATAGGTTCGTCCTCTTTGGGGTCCTGAGCGGTGGAGTGTTCGGCAGGAATGTTGTCTGTGGGGATATCTGCGGAAGGGGTGTACTCGGTTGGAGTATCCGCAGGCGTGTCCTCAGTGGTAATGGCGTCTTCGACAGGGGTATGATCCTCGTCGTTATCTTTCGTATCGTCTAATGAGAGCTCTGTAGCTGATGTGTCGGCTTCAGCTTCAGATGTAGCAGGTACAGCTTCGACTTCTTCTGACTCTGTTGCTGGCTCCTCAATTGGTTCTTCTGGCTTATCTTCGGTGTCAAATTGAGCTTTGGCTTCCTCTTTTGGTTCAGCTTCAGGCTCTGATTCGGCTTCTGAGTCGGCCTCTGAGTCTGATGCCTCTTGATCAGATTGTGCCTCCTCCTTGGTCTCTGCTGTTGTTATAGTAGATTGATATTCTTCTTTAGCTTCGACCGTAGGCTCGGCCTTTGCTTCAGATGGTGAGTCGGTGTGATTTGTCGTATCAATGTCGTTATCAAGCTCTTGGGCAGGGGCGTTCTTTAGATCGTGGTCTGTTTCCACTTCCACCTTTGGCTCCTCGGGGGCCCTTGTATCGTTATCGTCCATAGGATCGCTCAAGCAAGATGGATCAACGTGAATCTCGAAATCGAGGTCCTCAGGCCTGTTACGTCGGGGCATCTGAGGGGAGAGCGGTCAGCGGCTTGTGCCTTTTCGTATGTGTGCCTCGAGTATTTCGCAGTGACACACACACGAACGATAAAAAAGAAAAGGGGATATTGAAGCGAGGAAGAGGAGGAAGAAGAGAGGAGAGGTCAAGGGGTCTTCCTGGAATCGTGCAGATATTAGTCTGGGAGGCGCTGTACTGTATCCCCCAGACCCAGAAGACGCTGGGCTTGTGTGGCAGCGGATGGTTGGTCGAGGACGTTGGGACTGGCCCCGGTCATTGTTTACATTTGTTGCTGGGTCGACGGCTTTTGTGGACATTGATCCCTGAGCGTGATGTCGAGACAACGGTCAGATTCGCAAATGGAAAGTGGCTGAATTTCACAGTTGAGACTGTAAATTATGATTGTGTTTAATTTCTCCGGTTTCCTTTTGTCTTTGATAATTGAATTGTAGCTCCATTTCGCTGGTATTTTATCCCTTGCGAGAGCAAGCAATCCATATCTCTTAGCTCTCCCTGTTAGGTATGTACCTACCGAGTAGTTAGTGCGCAAACAGAGGTGATGTCATTCCATTGGATCACACTGGGATCCATTCTGATCGACTACTGAGATGCCCAGCAACGAGCAGAGAAACCCTTGCTGTTGGGGGTTTATCTGCAACATTTATTACATCAGGCCACGATTGGGCGATATGCTTGCATTTTACTGCATTGCACTCTGCTCCCTCTCCCTCTCGTGACTCGAACCTTTTTCAGCAAGTGTCACCTCCAACATCAAGTTTAGGGTAGTCAACCTCCACTACCAGGAACGGCCCGTCGGGTCTAGGTGTGTTTCACTTACATAGATTGCCGCATTCCTCTATCACCACAATATACACAGCATGTCCTTGTGTAGCTTTGAATGTATAAACTTGAGGGATCGCTAAAGACTCGCTATTCGGAAACTATACCGAAGAATGTGATACCATGTTGACACAGCATTGGCCTGAAGCAACCAGTACCGGTAAGTTGACAGCTGCTTGAGTGGCGGCTGTGATCTAAATTGCATGCAGGAAATTGTACATGTATTCCTTATTGAGTGGCTGACTTTGAAACTGTTCTTGCTCTAGATTCAGATATTTTGATAACTTTCAGCAAGTTAATGTTCGATCAAGGCTCGAGTAGCATGTGTGAGCTCGGAAGCGTGAGTAGTATTTGCGATGGAGTGGACTCAATATGTAAAATTATCACCGAAATGTAATATATATGATTTCTATGAGACGCTTTTTGTTCTTAGCTTGTGGTTGTTGATTGGCTCTTCCTCACAAAAGACCGGTGCGATGTTGGGCCGCTTACAACTTTGATTCTTTTGTTCTGCTGCATTTCAGCCGCAAACCTGAACTTGACCTTTGTTTTATCGCGACGTTGATGAACGAAGCCAAGATTGATCATGGTCTCTAGTATCATCCACCAACTGTATACTTGGTTTCGGCCCAGTCTGGTGGCGATCTTCTATCGCAATATACCATGGGCCTTGCGCTGGCGGCTGCTAGTATTTCAACCAGCTGCTCTCCTAACATATTCCATCGCCGCAATACCATGTCTTTTGTATCGCTCTTACACTGTTGAATATCTCCATATTGCGCCGGGTCGTTATGCTCGAGCATTGATCTTCAAGACTGCTGGTGTTGGGAAGGGGAGAGCTCTCAGGCCACTTCATGTGAACTTTCACGCTGGCGCATTCATGGGTGGCTTGCCAGAAGGTCACGCATATTTCGATCAGTTGGTGTCGGAACAGACAGGTGCCGTTGTTATTGATGTTGACTATCGCGTGGCGCCGGAACATGTTTTCCCAGCAGCTGTCGACGATGCTGATGCAACGATCAAGTGGCTACAAGAGAACGCCGAAGAACGTTGGGGTGCAGATCCATCTCTGATGACTACGAGTGGGTTTTCTGCCGGAGGAAACTTGGCCTTCGCGGTCACTCAGCATAAAAGCTGCCAGGCACCATCTCCTACATCTATCAAGGCCATCACAACTTTCTACGCTGCTATTGACTTCCGTCTGAGTCCCTGGGAGAAACCGCATCCAGCCAATATGCCCAAGAATGACCCAGCAAAAGTCTTTTTGCCCCTTTTCGATGCATATGCAGCACCTGCTAGATCAAAACACTTTGAGGACCCAAGACTTAGTCCTGTCCTTTCACAAAAGGAATCTTTGCCAGAGAGGATTCTTCTTGTCGTCCCTGGTATCGATATCCTTGTTGCAGAACAGACTGAATTCGCAGAGAGAATCAACAACGATGACGGTATAAGAGAAGTTCAGAGAGTAGAGATTTTGCATGAGAAAGATCTGTTCCATGGATATCTGGAAGGTGAGTCACCAAACTTTCTCGCGAATTCAAGCACTAAACTTTCCAGTCCCTGATATCGTGGTTAAGCGGGATATCAAGCATCGTGCCTACGACAAGGCTATTCAGGTTCTCAAGGAGACTCACAGGAAGTATGATTGGACCTGGAACACCTGAATCTTATTATATCAACAACTTTGGCATCTTTAGTATGGCCAGTTCTCGGGGAGCAAGAAAACACCGGGCTTCAATACAGGGTGTCAAAATAAACTTAGTAAAGGATATCCTAAATTTAGGGTAAACTTACCTAAAAGGTTTAATAAAAAGAATAAACTGCGTTGTCCTTTTCTTTTTTATTCTTTTCTTTTCTTAATCTTCACTTCTACTCACATCCTCCCACCAAGGCACGAAGGCACACACACACAAAGGCTTTGACTCCAACAGCAAGCCGCGTCCCCGACTTTCACAATGGCTCAAATTCAGGATATACCAAGCCGCTGGATATGCGACGACCGGTCTCAGTTGTCAAAGACAAAGAACAACTCGGACTCATTGTTCCTCAATTTACCCGTCGAAACCGTGCTCATCATTCACTCATTCCTCCCAGCCAGCAGTCAGCTGTGTCTTCTGACAACCTGCCGCGGGATAAAAGTATTACTAGAGTACAGAAACAGAACAGTCCCATATTCTCGATTAACACTTGAGCAAAAGCGGGAGTACAAGACATTTGTAATACGGCAGTTTCCTAATGCTTGGCTTGATGAAAAAACGCTACGTTTCCGAGAATTTCAAGAGGAAGACCTCTACCCACAACCGCAAGGTCCTCCAGTTGGAGTTCAAACAGGTTGGAACTACCCTGATCTCTGGCGTTTCGCGGCTGGAGCCTTATTGATAAGGCATAGGCATGTTCGGATGAGCCTCATATACCACCGATTGGAAAAGAAGACTCGCCAGCAAATGTCATTTCTCAAGAGTCTCCTGGAGCCATATCACACTGATTTCTCGCCAGGCTGCCACATACACCCTTCGGAAAAGTCTGGAGTAGTAGGCCACTTTGAGTCTCATCCCAAGCTCGTCTCTGGTCGATATCTTCTTTTCAACAAATGGACCTTCACCAACCCCCTGAGAGGCGGGACGGTAGGACTCCACAAACTCAGGTACTTTGGAGTTTGCGAACATCAGGCCATGTCAGAACTCGACTGGAGAGCCTTCGTCGTGCGCCGGGGCTGGGGTGAGGAATTTGGTGTCCGAACACACCTTTACTTAAGAATGTGGCAGCCTAGTCGTCTCAACGAGGAGCTAATCATATGCGTCCATGAGGCATTCAAAAACCCTGGACGCCAGGTAGATGGCCTGTGTCCGTACTGCCTGACGGAGTATTCGATCTGCAAAACAACGAAGAGGATGCAGATGCGTGTGTGGAGGGACTTGGGGACCGAGGATTCGTGTTGGAGTCCGGTTTGGCAAACACATTTGGGAAAAGTTGATCCTCAGGGTTTGTCCAGGGGCGATGATTGCCTTGAGATTCGGTCTCGTTATGGGGATACGGGTGTAGAGGGATAATAGTGCAAGAGTAAGTTGCTCACGATGTTTTTTGTGGACATGAACGAGGCCTCTCCTGGTTCGTTGCTTTACTTCAAAGCTGTGTCAACTTGGTATCACATTCTTCGGTGTAGATAGTTTCCAGCGAGTCTTTAGCGATCTAGGGGAGGAGAGAAAACTTAGGACCTTGACCCTAAGCGATGAAAAGTATTTAGGTCAATCTAGCCTAAACTTAGGGGACTCTTTACTAAGTTTATTCTGATATCCTATACCAAGGTCCGGTGTTTTCTTGCCCCCTGGGGTGCGGATACGGGTGTAGAGTGACAATAGTGGATGAGCAAGTTACTTATGATGTTTTTGGGAGGCATCAACAAGACATTCATGGGTATGACATACATCCCTATCCTTGCAATGGCATTCTAGCGAACCGATGCTCCGGGTATAAATTAAGCATAAATCAAGTGCATATTGAAGTCTCGAAGGAAAAAGCAAAGTTTGATGGTTTATCACAAGGTGCAAGACTGAGGGTGTTTGTGGGAAGGTAAAATATTGAATATCACCAAGATTCACAAAGGTAGCTGGAAAGTCCTCGATTGCACCAACCAAAGTAACAGACAAAAATGACCCTAGATACTCTATATACTCGTGTATTCTTTAGATAGACCTGTTTGCCACCCTCTCCAGCCCAAAGATTTAGAACCCAGTAGAGAACGCCATGCTACGCTATGTCAAATTCCCAACAATCAACCCCATCCGCCTAGTCACATCATACCCTGGCTTAAAAACCGTATATAAAGGAAAGAAACGCAACAACTAAGCTCATGGTTCCTCCGCCACAGGTCGTGGAGGTTCCATAGGTGCATTTGGTTGCCTATTACCCAAGCCTCGAGTCCCTGGCCGATGGCTGTCCGTTTGACCAACGAGGTGTTCACTCGGCCCATAGAATCCATGCATCTCTTCGTTCACAATACTGAGATTACTCTGACCCAGAGAATCACTCCGTATTCGTGGTCCACCCGACTGGCGCTGAGCTACAGGAGGTCGGCTCGGGACACTGGCAATACTGCCTGATGATATTCGCCTTTCATCTCTTGGGAATACTACCGATGATGGAGAGCTTGGCAGTTCTGGTACGTACGGTGTTGCTTCTAGCTCCGCCGTGGGATGAGCACCTGCCATCACTCCAGGGGAACCATCGGATCCTTCTGAAGCATTACTGTAGTTCCGAACATGTGCATACGTCCCATGTGAATCTGTACTCGAACGGTTCCTCGTCGATCCAGTAAGTCGAGAGATATGGCTCATTCGATGTTGTTCGCCAGCAGCTACGGCGCTGAAGTAATCGTCCCTGTTGCCCATTGCATCAAAACTAGCATGCCTGCTGGTGTTACCGCTTCCTGGTACCGCGTGGTAACCGTTCCCTCCTGGCGTAGGCTCATTAGAACCGTGATCTGCGCTAGCGAGGCCGAATGGTGAAGTTGCTGCAGAATCAGGGCCGGGGTTTCGCGGTCGTGGAGGTATCAGTGATGGATGTATCAACGGATCGATGCTCAGTTCATCAACAGCCGAGTCTGCTGTCTTGTACTCTCGGGTCTGTCGAGATTGGCTATTTGAGCCGTTGGACTTGTCTGATGTTCTTGGTGTGGCGACAGCGGCAACAACCTTGTTCAGATGGCGGATGATAATAAATGCTGCCACTAATACGATAATTAAAAAAGCCACAGAGCCGGCAATGATACCAGCCAATGCGCCAGTCGAAAGGCCTCCTTTGTCGCCGTTATCATCGCCAGATGAGGTCGTTGGGCTGACCTTGGGGATCGACGAAGGGAAGTATTTTAGAACTGCCTGGTCGTTATCTTCGCCAGCATTTACCGTCGGGAGAGCCGTAGGAGCTGTTGGTGTTTCGACGGTCACGGCTGTCGTTTTATAAGTCGTCCGCTCCCCCTTTATTGTCGTTGTAATGACCATAGTACTTGTGACAGTTACAGGATCAGATGAGTAGCACTGGTTCACGCCGCATGCCATTCCATTCGGACAGCAACCGTAGCTCAGTGATGACGGACACAAATACTGGCTAGCTGGACAATCGTATGTATATGCTGATCCAGAGGGTGGTACACAATTGTCGGCTGTCTCGCAAAGGTAACCGTCAGGACAACAGCCTCCTGCTATATGTGAGCCTTGTTCACAAACGCTTGACATTCCCAGAATACGAACCTCCATAGACCGGAGCGCAAACATGCCAGCCTATTTTTGTTCCACACGTCGAGGGTCCCTTCGTTGTCGCTTGGCAGCTCTCTTTGGCGCAATCATAGTTTTCTGGGCAACATCCTCCATCCAAACTCGAAGGGCATAGCTTCATACTCGTCGAACATTGCGCTTCGGCTCGTCGAGCGAGGCCCGCTGCCTGTGTGATTTGCGCCTCCTTCTCAATACGATGAACGCCATCATGTCTTCTGTAGTCGGCCGCCTCAACACCAAAAGCCCAAAATGCACCAACGACCGAGGTGAGGCAAAAGCTACACCCCCAGTTCCTCATCTTGTGCGATCAGGAACTGAGGGGAAATGTGACAGCGAATCGAGGGTGGCTTCGTTCAGCTGTGAGGGGCGCCGATCATGAGCAAAATGTAACTCGGATAAATGCAGCCTCTTCAGGCTGGTGGTTGTCGCAAATCAACGGATATAATCTGATTGATAATCGCGGGTTCACAACGGTCACAGATCGGTTCGAGACAAGATCGCCGTGAGGATGGTGTCGAATATTCAGCCGTTTCGCAACAAGACAACCAAAAGTAATGATGAGAAGGAGAAAAGGAGAAATGCGTCAGACAAAATAGGAATGTTCCTACAGTCAGCAATGGAGGCCTTAGAGGCTTGTCAATAACCGGGGTCTGAAGATGCTACGCCACGAGTGAGCAGTAAATGCTTCACTCGTGCCAGACGATCTGTAGGGCTGAGCGAGAAGCCCACTGAAACCGACTGCACGGTTCGTTCTGGTTGGGCGGTCAACCCAAAAGCGCAGCACTGGTGAGATTGCAAGAAATAGCTCCTCTTAAGGTAATAATAATCGTGGGCCCAGCGTGGAGACTGTGAAAGCAGGTGGAATGAAAACGGTGAGAAGCTGCACGGCGATGAGCAATATCCTATGGATAAGCAATAATGGGCTCGACACGCGGCTCATTTTCTCTCGCGGGGGCTGCTCGAGCTGAAACCGAACAGAACATCATAGACCAAGAGCTTCAAGCCGATCGATCGGTGACAGAGCTGTAAGAGAGCACCCATATGTGCGGTATTGCATTGTGGCTCGTCATCTTCACCAATACCATCGCTCCAGTCGCAGCTGAGGCTGTGGTGCAGCTCATCGGATTCGCTGGAAACAACGCCATGGTAGCTCAACAGCGAAGCCCCCTCGATGCTCTATTTCCATACCATCCCTCAAGACAATGCAGTGTCTCTCATCTCACGATTGGTCGGCGACGGATTTCTCAAGCTCTTAGTGGCCGACTGTGAACGGAGAGTGCATTGTTTGGGAGCATATGGTGCGCTCAAGTGCATTGGCGTTGGTACCGTGGCAGCCATTCAGCGGTGTTGTCCGTCTGACAAGTAGACAAGGCCACGAATCAAGTGTCTTATGGAGAAGGGAACCCTGTCCACAACGACAGAAGTTCATCCAAATCACCGAGGATTGGGGGCCGAGAACTTCGGGGGCGGAGGCATATAATAGCAATAGAAATAATGGAAGTCAGTTGAGAGTTGCTGACGAGGTCAAGCTACTATGAAGACAGGCACCCTTTGCTGGCACAGGTGAGTATTGCGATTGAACGAAATTCTTCAATAAATCGTGTCCTGTGTAGACAAAACCCCAGCTGGGCGATCATAGGCCCATTTGAAAAGTTCCGACAAGCGATGCACTTCGGCTGTCCTCGTTAAAAGCTTCCTTGTCGTGAGAGCAATATGCTGGCCAGGTTGACCGATGACCGGCTCTAAGCGGTCAACCTCTGGTAGCCTTGCGATCGTCAACTAAAGCAACTGACTTTTTTCAAGCAAAATTAGCTTGGCGGTCAGAAGGGGCTTCTGCTTTAAAATTTGATGCCTGGTTTGAGATGGCTGTTGACATCGTGAGGTAGCGGCGGTTTATCCTAAAATAGAGTCTTTTAGTGAGCACGAACAGGCTGGACTTTGGTGGTAGGTGGAGACGTAATTGGAGCCGGTCTTCATCAGCAGGACGCCCAAGATGTTGCGGACCTCGGCTTTCTGTGGAAATGATCAGAGAAGAGGCATTTTCGTTAACCTTAATAAACATAAAGAACGTCATTCTGTCAGTGCGCAAATAGTCGCAACCTTCAAAGTGAATTCTCGGCGAGAAGTCCAAGACCAAACAGAGTAGTGCAGTAGTGGCTGCAGATGACTAGGAGCCTAAGTTGACCACCCACTACGATCATAAGATTGAAGGATGGAGTAAGGTACTCGGAGAGTAGCATTATCAATCATCAGCCCAGAGTGTGTAAGTGTTGACTCTTCCCCACTTCGCAAATGCTTGTTCAGAGACAAACCAAACCGAACCTCTCTAGCCTCCCTAGGTCTGGCGCTCATCATGAAGTTGGACCTCCCAAATATCGCATGGACGCTCGACAGTTGGGTATCCATACAAGGCAGTAGAAAGGACCCGGCCGCTGCCCGCTGCCAAGAATCGTTAGGCCTGTCAAGGGTCCTGCAACTTTAGGTGCATGCCGGTGCTTCACCAGGCGCCACTTTCAAGACCAGACGAGAGCTATTGTGGCCCCATGGCCAAGATGCACTCGAGCTTCACGATCGGTGGCTGCCGTTGATAAATCTTGCCCAAAAGCCTCCGATTTGCTTGGCACTCTACGCTCAGACGCTGGCAATAAACTCGCCGACGGCTTCTAGAATTGGCAGGTACACCAACGCTGTGTCAACATCGTCAACGTCGTAGCTCGTGTTGCTGAATTATCTCCACTGATGCTGAATTTAGAGCATTGCCGATCAAAGGGCGGAATTAA